TTTTTAAAAAAATCCATATTTGAAGATCGAAATACCCCTTTATTATTTAAGAGCATTTAAATAATTTTGTTTGATAAATTAAAGGACCAAAAATAGTCATACGACAATAATACTAGAATCAAATGTGATATTTTGAAGGAAAAAGAAAAAGGGAATGCCACCTATAAATATAAGAAAAAATAGAATTAATAACTCAATTAATTAATTTTTTATTTTACTACAACACAGTGTTAATTACTTGCTATCCGTTCAAAAAAAAAAATTAGTTGCTATGATATTGGACAAGGGAACATGCGGAAAATTAAAGTGACAAAGAGGCAAAAATGATTAGATTACGGAATGTGAATAACCAATTCAATAGAACTCAGACAAGCAATTAGGGTCCTATATACAAAGCTCCTATTCTATAGGCTAAAGCTGATTAGACTAATTCTCTACCAAAGATACAAATTATATAGTATAAATTAAATACAATTATTTATATTACTAACACACCCCCTCAAGTACAAGGTTGGAGGGTGACAACATTGAGCTTGTCCCGAAGTAGTTGAAATCGTGGTCCTGGTAAGGGTTTGGTGAAGATGTCGGCTATCTGCTCCTTTGTGGAAACAAAGCTAACAATAAAATCCCCGGATATGACCTTGTCCCGAACAAAGTGATAATCGATCTGAACGTGCTTCGTCCGAGCGTGGAAGACTGGATTGGTCGCCAAGTATGTGGCCCCGAGATTGTCACAACACAGTGTTGCCGGCTTGCCCGAGTGGAGCCCAACTTCACGCAGCAAAGAGACGACCCAGGTAACCTCAGCTGCTACATCTGCCAGGCCCTTGTACTCTGCTTCAGTCGAAGACCTTGCTACTGTGCGCTGCTTGCGGGACACCCAAGAAATCAGGTTAGCCCCGAGAAAGACTGCATACCCACTGGTGGATTTCCGATCAATAGGGCAGCTAGCCCAGTCGGAGTCGGAGTAAGCATGTAAATCAGACGTTGTCGACGTGCGAAGACATAGACCGTAGTCCTGAGTCCCCTTGATATAACGAAGAACCCTCTTAAGAAGACTCCAATGATCATCAGTAGGGGAATGCATAAACTGACACAATCGGTTAACAGAATATGCCAGATCTGGACGAGTGATTGTGAGGTACTGTAACGCCCCAACTATACGACGGTACTGCGTTGGATTCTCAAAAGGATTGGAGGACGGAGTGGCCAGTTGTGTGACCGAAGCCGGTGTAGCCAGGGCTTTGCAATCTGTCATGCCCGAGCGAGATAGTATATCCTGCATATACTGGCGCTGAGAGAGAAGAAAGCTGTCACCAAGTGTGAGAGTCTCGATCCCTAAGAAGAAGCTCGGTGTTCCCAAGTCCCGGATCTTGAAAGTCGTGGCTAAGCGGTGTAGCAAGACAGTGACCAGACTTGTATCATTCCCCATCATTATAATGTCGTCGACGTAAACTAATAAAAAAAACGCGTGAATCTCCCGAAGTGTAATGGAATAGAGATACATCTGTTTTGGATGCCAAAAACCCTGTGGATATCAAAAAATCATGAAGCCTTTTAAACCAGGCGCGAGGTGCTTGTTTTAGTCCGTAAAGGGACCGCTGAAGATGACAAACATGATTCGGCCTGGCCGGGTCTTCATAGCCTGGTGGTTGCTTCATATATACGGTTTCAGCAAGATGTCCATTTAAGAAAGCATTGTGAACATCTAGCTGCCGTAGGGTCCACCTGTTAGAAATAGTAAGAGAAAAAAGTATGCGGACGATGGTTGGCTTGACCACCGGACTAAAAGTGTCAAAGAAATCTTCTCCTGCAACCTGGTTGAACCCTTTGGCTACTAGTTGCGCCTTATAGCGCTCCACTGAACCATCGGCTTTGCGTTTGGTGCGAAAAACCCATTTGCAGCCAATGATGTTCATTTGTGGTGTAGCCGGAGTGAGCTCCCAGGTGGTGTTATGTAAAAGGGCATTAAATTCCTGATCCATGGCATCCCGCCACTGAGGATGCCCTACAGCCTAAGAGTAGCAGGTCGGATCAGTAGTCGCAGTAAGAGCAAAAAACTCTTCATCATGACCCTAAGTCTTGTGTCGAGTCTGCATAGTATGCGGGACATGAGGCTTGCCCCGTCCCATGCTCCTACGGGCCGTAGCAGGTAGTCCCGTAGTGACACGAGTTTCTGGTGGAACTGTTATGGCCGGTGGCCCCGGTTCTGGAGCAATAGGTAACTCCATGGCTAGGGGTGTTGACTGAGTAGCAACTACAACTGGCCCGGCTCCCCAGGGTGTTGCAGTGGAACTCACTGTAGGCTGAACAGGTGCCTGCAGAGCAAAAGGGAAGACGGATTCATCAAACCGAACATGGCGGCAGATAAAGATCTTTCCCGAGATAGGATCCAAACACCGATATCCCCTAAAAGAGACAGGGTAACCTAGGAAGACACAGGGTGTCGACCAATACTCTATCTTGTGTCGATTGTAGGGCCGAAGATATGGGTAACATCGACACCCGAAGACACGAAGGAAAGTGTACGGAGGTTGTGTTTTATAGACACGATAATGCGGACTTTCAAAGTTTATAGCAGAGGATGGTAGACAGTTGATTAAATAGGTGGCTGTTTCAAAAGCATAATCCCAATATATTTGTGGGGTTGAGCTTTCAGCTAGAAGTGCCAAGCCGGTTTCGACTATTTGTCTGTTCCGGCGTTCGACACGGCCGTTTTGTTCATGGGTATAGGCACACGATTGTCTGTGTGTAATGCCTAAATTTTCGAAGACTTTGTGAAGACGTTGATACTCACCCCCTAAATCAAACTGTATGGTTTTGATAGAACGCGAAAAGCGTCGTTCTACCATCATCCGGAACACATCAAATATTTTATATATATATGATTTTAACCGTAATGGGTAAAACCAGCAATAACGCGAGTGATCATCTACAAACAATACGAAATAACGGTAGCCAGTAGCACTAATTACAGGAGACGGACCCCAGATGTCCGTATATAACAAGTCTAAAATATTATTGCTAGTGCTAGAAACCCTATCTAAGGGAAAGCGAGCTGATTTCCCGAGTTGACACGCGGTACACAACTTGGACGAACTGGCTTTATTTGTAGTGACGGGACAGTGTTTTAAGGTGCGTTGTAGAGCTTGATTGTGGGGGTGACCTAGACGTTGATGCCACACATCGGAGGGTGCTCGAGCGGTGAGAAAGGCACACGGAGATGGTGGGACCAATAACTTGTATAGGCCGCCGGAGGTGAAACCTTTAAGAAGAACCGCCCGAGTGTTGCAATCCTTCACAAGAAACAGATTTTTGTGAAATTCAAAGTAAACATCGTTATCGTTAGTAAAGCGATAAACGAATAATAATGGTAACGTTAAATTTGGAACGTGTAGAATTTGAGACATTGACAAACTTTTAGATTTAGATGGGATTACGGTATGGCCTATACGGGAAACACCCAAACCTGTACCATTTCCAATTTTTAGAACATCCCCACCAGTGTAGGTTTCAGAGTGTCCCATCATTTGTTCGTCTGGGGTTGCATGAGATGTTGTCACCGGAGACCGCTACGTTGGCGTGACCGGCAGGACGATCATTGTACCGTTTGTAGCAGTACAAGGCCGTGTGTCCATGGGCTCTGCAAATCTGACATCTCGGTCCGCCACCCCGGCCTTAATTGCCCCGGCCGCGATTTTGACGTCCACCACGTCCGCCGGAGTGACGTCCCTGCTATTAATCATTTCCATGCCGCCCTCGTCCAGCGTAGAAAGCCGCCGGAGAGCCACTGCCAGCCGCCGAGTCAGAAATGGCGAAATCATCCTCATGGATGAATTCCTGCGCCTGGAGGAAGTCGGAGAGCTATGCCAACAACACCGTCACTCCAGTTGCGGTGAGGGAGTTTGCCATGGTACGGAACTCCGGTCTGAGCCCCCAGAGAACGTACAAAATCTGTTCGTCCGGCGAGAGGGGCCTGCCGGCGAGCGATAGCGCCTCAACGATCATCTGGCACTTCCCTAAATATTCGGCCGGAGATCCAGGACCTTGGCGGAGGGTCTGAAATTGCCCGAGCAGACTCAAACATCGCGCACGGGTAGTGGAGGCGCACGTTGACGCGATCGCATCCCAGACCTCCCGAGATGTCTGCCGGCCGACTACGAGGTGCATAACCTCGTCGGATAAGGATGAGACGATGGTGGAGAGGATCGCCTGGTCCTGCTGAATCCATGCTTCATACGCCGGATTTGCAGTGGTGGTGGTTGTCGTGGTGGAGTCACCGGCAGTGGAGGTCACGACGACGGTCGCCGGTGGACACGGAATCTGGCCGTCGACGTAGCCTAACAAACCTTGGCCGCGGAGGAATGACACTAATTGAGTGCGCCAAAAGAGGTAGTTCCTCATCGTCAGCCGTGTGGAGACAAAATGGTGCGCCGCCGTGAGGGAGTTGACGGCCACCGGAGGTGGTGGCGACGGTTCGTTCACTGGAGGAGGATGCCATGCTATCGATACGGGGATAGTGTATGGTGAACGAAAAAGAGAGAAAGAAGATCGAACCTTCGGCTTCTGATACCAGATTAGATTACGGAATGTGAATAACCAATTCAATAGAACTCAGACAAGCAATTAGAGTCCTATATACAAAGCTCCTATTCTATAGGCTAAAGCTGATTAGACTAATTCTCTACCACAGATACAAACTATATAGTATAAATTAAATACAATTATTTATATTACTAACAAAAACTCTCAAGATAGAACAAAACTAAGTCATACAAAATACAGTCACTCCTAAATACAAAAGTCTGTTTAAATAGAAAACTAGAAGAATTGAAGAGTTACAAATATTAAAAGCATGCATGGAAAATGCAAAATAAATATAAAAGGAGTTGAAAATATTAATGATATTTATAGTTAATTCAAATTTTTAATAAAAATAACCACCTAATTAACTCCATATCTCTTAGACTTCATGTATGTAACTATTTTTTTGTTATTACCTCAATTCATGTTCCACATCTCAACACTTAGCTAGAGATCTAAAAGCAATCAGTACTTGAGAGGTGATTTCTGAATCAGCAACAAACCAAAACATGCACTTCTTTAATAGCACCCTCTGTCTCGAGTATTTGTCATCGGGAGAGAAGCGATCTGCAAAAGTTAGTAAACACACTTCACAGTATATCCCATCATGTATCTACATGCACTTATGCATTACCAACAAAACATACCATATACAGTTGTAAATTTCTTTGGTGTAATAAGGTTACTTACCATTGTAAAGCTAGCTAGTTTCTTCTTCTTCTTGTCTTTGATTTTCTTCGTTTAACCTTCATTGCTAGTTTGTATGCTTCTTCTTCAGCAAACCTTCTAATGAATTCTGGCTTTCCAGTCAGGAACATGAGACTTCCCATGAATAATCCAAAAAGAATACCACAACCATACCCCATTGCCACAACTTTTATTGTGCATCCGCTCAAAAAACTCGAATCATCTTCTTTGTAGAAATCCTTTGGTGCAGGAAGTTGTGGTGTTACACTGTCCCCACAACTTTGTGACAAAGGCTTTCCTTTCAAACCATCATTTCCTTGGTATGAATTTGCTTCAAATGTATTGAATTGTGGGCCTTGAGGTATGCATCCCACAAGCTTATTATGTGAGAGATTCAACACTTCCAGAGTTGTAATTCTTGCCAATTGCTCAGGGATAACTCCACCAATTTGATTCAAAGAAAGGTCTAAGGATTCCAACATGGATAAATTTCCAAGAGACGTTGGGATGTGTCCAGTGAACTTGTTACGTGATAAATTTAATTCACGTAATGCAAGAAGATCTCCAATGCTATTTGGAATATGCCCTTCAAATTTGTTGTTTGAGAGATCAATGGTAATAAACATGTTAAGTACTCTTACAAGTTCACGCTCTTGCCCCTTCACACTCACAATCATTGAATCTTCATAGTAATAGGGATAGGACGACCTGGTAGAATTATTCAAACCAAGGTACAATTGTGATTTATTTTCATCAACATTTGTCATGGCTTTAAAATTCTTGAAAAGCCATGTGGGTAAATCCCCTGTGAATCCATTAGAGGAGAGGTCAAAGACACGAAGTTGGGGAAACAAATGCCCTTTAATCCTCCTATTTCGGATGGAACCATTCAGCCGATTAAATCTCAAGTTAAGAACCTTTAGATTTGGAATAACTCTTAACCACATTGGAAATGTACCACTCAATTTGTTGTGTCCAAGATCAAGAACTTCTAACCCTTTACAATTGATTAAAGATTGTGGCACTGCACCCTCTAATTGGTTATCATACAAACTAAGTCTGCTCAATGAGTTGCAAACCTTAAATTGTGTTGGGATTGGCCCATGAAATTGATTCCGGTGCAAATCTAACACAGACAGATCTATGTTTACCAAACATTGAGGTATTGGCCCAGTAAACAAATTGTTTGCCAAATCCAAAATTATGAGATAACGTAAATTGCAAATGGTTGAAGAGATAAGATTTGATGTTGGATTTCCACTATCAAACATAAGTGTACCAATGAAATTGTTTGTGGAAAGGCGTGGGACTTCAAGTTGTGTGAGGTTTCCAATTATTTGAGATATTGGACCATAAAAGTTGTTTCTTGACAAGTCTAGAACAGCCAAATTCAAAAAGTTTCCAATTATTTGAGATATTGGACCATAAAAGTTGTTTCTTGACAAGTCTAGAACAGCCAAATTCAAAAAGTTTCCTATTTGAGGTGGAAGTATACCAGTGAAATTGTTATAGGAAATCTGAATAGAATTGAGCCTTGTGAGGTTTTCAATTATCTCAAATACTGGTCCATAGATATTGTTTTTTGACAATTCTAGATTTTCCAAACTTTTCAAGTTTCTTATTTGAGGTGGCAACATCCCAGTGAGATTATTATTGGAAAGCTCTAGATTAGAAAGGCCAGTGAGGTTTCCGATTGTATGAGGTATTGGACCATAGAAGTGGTTGTCTGATAAGACTAGCTCATACAAATGTTGCAAGTTTCCTATCTGGGGTGGAATGGTGCAATGGAACTTATTTCCATACAAGGAAAGGTATCCAAGATTTGTGAGCAAACCAATTTCAGATGGAATACTGCCATTGAAGGAATTGTCTCCAAGATCCAAAGTTGTTAGCTTGGTCCAATTGGAGATGAGATGGGGTGAAATATTACCGGGAATAAAATTACTTGATAAGTCCAGATTAGACAATTTGGTCAAAGAAGACAATGATGAAGGAATAGTTGAATTCAAGAGATTATAGCTAATGTCCAAGACTTGAAGATTTTTGAGTTGGCCTATAGAATATAGGATTTCACCTTGGAACTGATTGAATGACAGTAGAAGATGTTTGAGGCTAGACAGATTGTTAATGTTAGGTGATAAAGGCTCGGAAAATTCATTGTAAGAAAGATCGAGATACTCAAGCTTCTCCAAGTTGATGAACAATGACTCAGGAATTGATCCATTCAAACCGGTTCCACTCAAATCAAGATAAGTTAGGTTGCGAAAACATAGTATGAAATCAGGGAACGATATCAATGTAATCCCGGCCAAACTGAAATGTCTCAGCATAGGAAAACTCTTAACTTTAGACAACCAGTCATCAGAAGCATCTAAAAACAGATTATTATTCCCAAAGTCTAGGAACCATACCTTTTGAAGGTTTCCAATCTGATGAGGAATAACTCCCCTCATATCGTTGCCACTAAGGTCCAGGTACTGAAGCTCTCTCAAGTTCCCAATCTGATGAGGAATAACTCCACTCATTTCGTTGTCACAAAGGTCGAGGTACTGAAGCTCTCTCAAGTTCCCAATCTGATGAGGAATAACTCCACTAATGAATATGTTTCTACTAAGGTCGAGGTGCTGAAGCTCCGTCAAGTTCCCAATCTGTGGCGGTATGTTTCCATCAAACAAATTGTAGCTCAAGTCCAAGAAGACCAAGTTGGATAAATGACCAATGGCAGGAGGGATTGATCCATCGAAGTTGTTACCACTGATGTTGAAACCAGTGAGGCTGGGAAAAGAAGTGAAATTGAGGTGGTGAAGAGTACCGCAGAGATGAGCATCAGGAAGATTGATCTCAGAGACAGCTGATCCACCAATATTGCAGACAATGCCCCTCCAATTACAAAGGTTCCTTAGGTTGGATAGTGACCATGAATTGAGTGGAAAAGAAAACCCCTCATCACACACTGATAGGCCGCTCTTCCATTTCAGAAGAGCTTCAGCTTCCGTTGTTGTTGATGCCATCATCTCCAATGCAAAGAAACAAGGCATCGACACAAAGATGAGCGCTGCATAATTCCAATGAAAATTTCCCATTTTTTTTTCCTTTTGTTGGTATGACGAATATGACAAGTTATGATACCAAGAAAGATAAGGAACCTTAGCTTTTAAAGATGAAACCACACTGCGTGATGGATGGGTACATTGACCCAAGACTTTTACCAATTTTTGCATTTTATTTACAAAATTTATATTAATTAGCTTTAATTTATTGGAAAATACCCTCATTATCTATATTTAGAGGGTATTATAGTCTTTTTACTTCTCTTTTATTTCTTCCTTAAAACACCCTCATAATTTTACCTATTAATATTTTTCAGTGAATTTTGACTGATAATTTGGCCCGAGTGACCAAAATTGATAAAAACTTATAAAAATTAAAAAGATCACAATAGTCATATCACCAAAAGTGAAATTATATATATATATATATATATATATATAAACATAATAAGTCTCAATCAAATTTATATCATTTATTTATGTCACTCTTTTGTATGCTAATAACTATATACATTTTATTTTAAATGTTGTACACTCCAATGTTATTAGACAAAATTGTCCCTATTACATTCTTGTTAGACAAAATTACCCTTACACTTTTATAATTTTTTATTCTAATATTAATAACCCCATCATTATTATCATACACATATATCTATCATATCTTTTTCCTATTCTTTAATTATCATTTTTAAAAAATTATTATATATATAATTAATTTAATGGTTGATTATATTTTAATTAAATTTCTATAAATGAAAAATCATATATGTGTGTTTAAAATATATATATATATATATATATATATATATATATATATATATATATAATTTGAATTATAATTTGTAATTATTTTTATTTATCAATATTTTAATATTAGGCATTATTTTTGCCCATCGCGCACGTACAAAATGATAGCTAAGTAGTAGATATATTGAAGTGATGCATGGCGTTTCCATTTTCCACAGCTCCGTATAAGATGGTAAAGAAAAATGATACATTATTATTCTTCCAAAATGATAGCTAAGTAGTAGATATATTGGAGTGATGCATGGCGTTTCCATTTTCCACAGCTCCGTATAAGATGGTAAAGAAAAATGATACATTATTATTCTTCCAAAAGGTTTAACCCCAACCCGACAAAGCATCTTGGGAGGATGTAAATTATGAACCACAGAGGCTAAATCGGTGCTCACTACACACAAAGAGCCCTCTCACTTTGAGAGGTTGCTCCCACACTACCCCCGTTGGTGAGACTCGATCCCTGATTATTCTTCCAAAGTTTCATCTCTATGACCAGTTGAGCTACCCATGCGGACAATGATACATTATTATATTTCTACTAATACGCGTCCAACAAATAAAAGTTATCATATCTATATACTTTGAATTGGTCATTGTGATAGGAAATTTGGAAATTTTGTTAGGAAGAGACAAGAATTTATAGAAATTAAGGTTCACCGGATTGACTATTTCTTTGCTAATGACTTCCATTATATTCCTCCCACCCATCAATCCCATCTCTCCCAATCACAATACAATTAAGGGCATCTGGACTATTGTATTGGATATCAGAAGAAAAATTACTCTCATCTACAAGGTGTGGATATAAATATAATAAGTAAAAGGAAAAAAAAATACAATCTGGCCGTACTTTTTTTTTTTTTTGAAATACAATCTAGCCGTATTTTTTTTTTTTTTTTGAATGCTACTGGCTCTATTACATTGTACTATCTGTTCATATACTTTCTCAACCTATTGAAACACAAAGAACCAATAACGCATCCACTAAGGCTCGAACTCACAACCTTCCAATCTAGCGGTACTTAATTAGCTGTATTTCTAAGTTTGGTTGGTGAATAGAGTTGAATTGTTTGATCCCTCCATGCATGCATGCTTTATTTGCTTTTCCTACTTTAATTTCTTCCTTCATCCTCTTGATCTGCTATCTATGGAGTTGTAAACACTCTGCCTTCTACTCCCTTTCTGCTATCTCATGCTAGCTTATGTTATATCCATAAATGGTTTTGTCATACAATTAAGATAAGAAACACATTCCTTTCAAAAAAAAATAATAATAATAATAATAAAGAAACACATATAGGGAAATCGGTTCTCGTGCGGGTGAGCACTTCAGGTGCAGTTGTGCGGTTTAATCTGTGTCATTCATCTCGCTTTAATCAACGTTCAAGATTATCAAAATATATTTTAAAAAAACGCGGTGGCAATTTTGTTATTTTTGCATCTAGGTCAAAATTAAGGTGAGTGGTTTTGTGATTAATGTGGGTGAGTTTGTGCTTAATGTGCGTTGGTTTGTGTTTAATGTGAATAGTTGTTAAAACTTAAAGTGTGTGGGCTTTTGTGCTTAAGGTGCGTGAGATTTGTTCTTAAGGTGAGTGAAGTTTGTACTTAATGTGCGTGAGGTTTGTGCTTAATGTGCGTGGGGTTAGTGATTAATGTTAGTAGTTGTTGAAACTTAAAGTCTGTGAGTTAATACTTAAAGTGCGTCAGTTTAATGCTTAATGTGCGTGAGGTTTGTGCTTAACGTGCGTGGGTTTTGTACTTAATGTGCGTGAGTTTGTACTTAATGTGAGACATTTTAAAATCTTAAGTGTGTGAGTTTTGTGCTCAATGTGCTTTTTTTTTTTTGTGTTTAATGTGCATGATTTTTGTACTTAAGGTGAGTGATTTGTGTTCTTAAGGTGCTTTGTTTGTGGACTTAAGGTGCGTGGTGATTTGTGGACTTAAGGTGCGTGGTGATTTGTGTACTTAAGGTGCGCTATATTAATACTTAAGGTGCGCACAACCGCACAGAAAGCATCAACCGCACCTGAACCCTTCCCCACATATAGGTACCAAGATTTACCTGACATGCAATATTTGTAAGTTCGATCGGATCAGATCCGAGTGACATAACTTGTTTAGAGTTGGCAGAATTCAACATTTTACACTAAATATAAGAAACACATAAAATTTCAACTGAAAAAAATAAAATGCCAATTAATTTGCATAAATATTGGCTTTTAATAGCCATGTGCGAGCTACTTGTTGATCTTTTTGGGTGATTTTCATGCTTGCAATCTTTTGTTGACTATGAGGTTCACCAAAGTGCACCTTCCAGTAATAATTATGAAATTCATCAAAGTAAGGATTTGAATAACAGTTCCGATAAATCGATGTAAAAATAAATGGATCGGACTAATTTATAGATGTTAACCCAATTATTTAATAAAATAAAGAAAATACTATATGTGCTCACACTTCTTACTCTCAACTTCTATTTTTTCTCACAAATCTTTAATGTAGACATTTTTTCTAGTACCCATATGATGAAAATATCTTATCCTTGTTTGCAACATCATAGAGTAACCTGGTTGTGTTCTTCGTTATTGTCTTAATCTCAAACGACATTTTGTTGATGTGTCGTTCCATTTTGTTCCTAGATCAGTGAATACGTTGGCTCATGCTTTGACTAGAGCAACGACTTCTCAATATGTTCCTTGCACTTGGTTTTCTTTGTATCCTACTTGTATTCAGCATTTGACTATTTGAGATTAATTTATTTCAGTTTGGCTTTCAAAAAAAAAACATCATGGACTAAAAGTGAGAGAATAGAATTTGAGAATACATATAAGAGAACTCATAAAATAATACTCCATAATAATAAATAGGGAAAATGACACTTTTTGACCCATGAGTTATATACTTATAACACTTTTTTCCCCCTGAATTATTCAAGTGGTGGTTTTTCCTTCTAAAATGTTAAATAAACATATTTACCCTTAAAATAAATATTTCATTCATTTTTCTTCTCCAACAAATTATGACTACAATTTGGTTCAAACCGAACAGATACTATAGCAACTAAACCGAAATATTTCAATTACAATTTAGAATCGAAACCTGATATTTAGAGTCTATTAAAATCGCGAATCAGAACGGCCGGTTCATGTTCTGAACTGAAAAAAATATATTTATTATTGAATTTAGACTATTTTAAAAATAAAAAATAAATTTTTTTAAAATAAAGATAGTTCAAAATCGCGAACCGTATCCGGAATCACCGGTTCACGGTTCAGGATCCGGTGTTTCGATTCATAATTTTAATAAATTGAAATCCCAATATTTGATTCTGGATCTGAATCATAATCGGAAACTTTCAATTTGATTGTTATAGTGTCCGGTTCAGTTCGAAACGAATCGTGGTCATCCCTTCGTATAAGCAATAATTTGTTGGGGAAGAAAAATAAATAAAATGTTTACTTTAAGGATAGAAATATCAATTTAATATATCAAGGAAAAACCACAACTTTTAAAATAATTGAGAAGACTAATGTACTTATGTCAGAAAAAAATGTATTATAAACATATAATTCAGGAGAAAAAAGTAACATTTTCCTTAATAAATATAATATTAGTGCAATAATAAATTTTAAAAATAAAAAATTAAAAGGAGGGAGGGAAGCCATGAAGGGCGAAGACCATCGTCATGCGAACAACAAGGAGCTTCAACCAACGTAAATTCCGCTTGTGCTGTTCCTTTCTTCCCTCTCTGCTTCTTACATTTTTTCTTTATTTTTACTATTATTATTACTCCTTTTTGTGTAATATACGTTTTTACTGATTTCACCATTTCTGATTCTGCTTTTCTTCTTCTGCAATTGCATATCGCCATTGCCATATCTCTGTATCAGCACTCGCTTATCTGCCACCTTCCCCTCCAACGCCAAGTTTCCGCGGTAATAATTGGGCCTCTCTCTTTCTTTCTCTGGAAATGTTCTTATAGCTTTAGTTTTGTTTCTTTTCAAGTTAAAATATTGATACCTGAAGCCTGGGTTCATGCCTTTTTTCTCCATTGAAAACAAAAACTAGGAAATTGGATTCTGTTTATGTAGAATTGATGCATTAACGTTGTTCCAGATTCATGGTTGTGCTAAAAATTGTGTCTTTGATAGGCCGGTTTTGGGGTTTTGTTTGGAATGAGTAGAGAAAGAATGCAATGAGCATGGAGCAGAGGTTGTATGTATGTTAAATCATATATAATTGAGGGAAGGAAAGTAAGTGCATGGAATCACGGAGGAATT